CGGGTCCGGTGACCCTTCCTCTGAGGAAGGGTCACCGGACCCGAAACGTTAACTCTGTTTTCTCATCCACAGAAGCTGCCAGACCTGCTGAGCTTTTCCAGCAACTTTGTTTTTGTTCCTGGGTTGTGGTGACCATGTCAGAGGTAAACAGCTTTTTTGTACATCTTAAGGAATGTACAAAATGTTAATGGTGAGGTTTTCTCATCTCTGAGAAGCATCCTGGATAGCCAATGATCTTAGAGATCCTTCAATCCTTATATTGATGATTGCAGCCAAGACTCAGAGGCTAAACCAAATGTGAACACCTTGTAATCTGTCCTTACCTCACTTATGTTCCACACTTATAATTTTCTGTGTGTGTGACTATGTGATCTTTGCAATCACTGTGTGATATTCAGTGCTGCACTAATGTCCAGACTTTGCCTCATTGTGCATTGTTCTGGTTGGAAAATATGCTTTAAATGCAGTTTTCTTCACTATAGGTGTTGGGTGAAGTATATTTAAGCATTCCATGCTTAGTTAGCAGTGTATACAAATTAGCAGACATGGAAGACTAAATGATAATAGGTGGATGAAAAGGACTTGCATCAGAATGCCTCTGAAACTCATAATAGCCATAGGAGAACTCAGTACACAGCTTTCAGCTGAATCATGAAGCCACAGAAACAAACTCATCTTAGGAGAGGTGATGACCCATTGGTATTATCGCTAAACATTTGGTCAAGAGATCCAGGTAATGTTCTGGAGACCTGGCTTCAAATCTCACCATGGCAGGTGGTGAATTTGAATTCAATAAAAATATCTTGAATTGAAAGTCTAATGAGGACCATGAAACCATTGTCACTTGTCAGGAAAAATGCATCTTTGGAGAAGGAAAGTGCCATTCTTACCTGGTCTGGCCGACATTTTACTCCAGGCCCACAGCAATGTGGTTGACTCTCAACTGCCTGATGGACAATGAATGACATCATAGCCAGTGAATAAATTAAAAGAAAGCATCATATGATGTTACAACACTGTCTGAAAGATTGCTTCTCTTTCCCTAATGCTCATCAGAACATACATAGTTCTCATCTTTGAACATGGATGCAGCATATGTTGTAAAACACTCAGATAGATGTTTACATTGGCTGTTTACTGTACAACAGGAAAGATGAAAAACAATAAAGCTGTATTTGCTTTTGCATGCAAACAGCAGCTGCTTGCTCACTTTAGCAACAACAAAAAATCTACATTTATCGAATATCCTCACCCAGCTCAGATCTCTTAAGAAGTAGTTTTCATTTAAGTTTTCTTTGGCTTCTTGTTGCATTGCTCCCTCATATTGAAAGTGATGTTTCTGTCGGTCAGTGCCCTGATCTTTTGGCTTGGAAGACTGCTGTCGCTCTCCCAGCTCCTCAGTGTCCATCACATCCCCTCTTTGCCTGCTGTAATTGTGCAGAGCACAGCATGTGTCACTCTCCATCTGGAGTGTACCACAAAACTCCTTTAGAGCAATTCAAGCATTATAATAACATGTTGAGGAGCCATCAAGTCTCTTCCATGGTGGCCCTGGTGGAAAAATGGGCTGCATTGTATCTTTGTTTGACCTCAGTAAGCAGTTTCCACACGAGAGTCATCAGTACCCTCTGCAGTCTCATGCTGTTTCTGGATCTATCCCTTTAACAGTTGTTATCCCTCTGCATCCAACATAATGGGTCCAATCCCTGCGCTTAACTTTCCTACTTTCCCCAACACAGACTGGACTGCCCCATGATAGCCCTCCACAGAGTTTCCTGCCAAAAAATTCGAGAATGACCATGATTCAACCCCCATACGGAGTTGTGAGATCAGCCCTTGATGAACATGCCCCAGTCTCTGGCTGATGCCCCAACTGACTTAATCTATAATCCACATGTTGAGTGGATGTGCCCTGCAGGACTGACTGTGGCCCCAGTCACGAAATCTCTAGATTCCCAGACTGGAAGGACATAGATTCCTTGACCCTGCTTGCACCAAACACCCTGCTGATTGTGCCAAACGCCATGAAGTGAGATCGGACAATGCCCTTGACTGAGTGTTGTGGAACCCCTGACTAACCATTGTCCCATTCACTCAAATAAGGACTGCTTCACTTAGACTTTCAGACATGGAAATTTGATTGAAACACATGCAGTCTGTGTTTACTAGTGTATAAGCTGCTGCCACGTAATGTTCAGTGTGATATTAGTATGTCATGTTGTGACGAAGGAACATGCCCATCTGGTTGACTGTTTAGTGCTGGCAGGCATGAGAAGCTGCCTGGCTTTCTGTCCATTCTAAGAAGCAAGGCAAGGCAGAGATGCTGTGAGGCAGTAAATTCTGACTGCTACGGCAATGTGCTAAAATGCAAGCGGTTTTGTGAGGTCTAAGTAAGCACAAAGTGAGTGAGTGCTAAGAAAGCAATCTAAGAAACCTGAAATGCAGATGCATGAGATGAGTGTGTGTCCCAACGTGCAGGTTAACCTGGCAGGACTGCTGAAATATGAAATGTCTGTGAGCTCTGGGGTGCAGTAGTGAAGTGTTGAAACACCTTCTGAGTTAGTATGAGATTTGCCACAACAATGTAGCACTGCTGGTCTTTTGCCAATGAAAAGTTGTTGTGGTCAGTGCCCATGGAACATGCCATGACATTTTGGTCAGTGAACGTGAACATGGAGACCTGGAGCTGCATCTGCTATGGAACTGGTCAGACTTTAAAATTGGGAATTAGTGCCATCTAATTTCTCCAGTGGTAACAATGGGTGGGCTAGAAACTCTTCTGAACATTACTATATTGCTCTTAGTTTAAACCTTAAAATCAATCAACTTCACTAAGTTGTGATTGGCCTGTTTGTTTCAATGCACAGTACATTTCAGGTTGTTTTGTAGCCTTAGATCTCACATATTGGTGCCATGTTGCCAATCCTTTAAAGTCCCATTGCACCTGTACCTCTCACTGGCCCTTTACAACTTTTCATTAATAGGTCACTTTTAATGTTCGGTTCCAACTCTCACTTGAACTCATTGTTGTAAACAGCCTCTTTATTCCAATACGCTGTTCGTTCCAGATTGCTGCTCAAGTGCAAACTGTTTTGTCTTCTCGATTAAGTGATTAGAGGACTTGCTGTCTTTTAAATGAATCTAATGTAGTCTGTGTTCATTCTAACAAGTACTTTCTCCAGTTCTCTTCTAGTCATGTACTCTTGCACAAGATTTCTTAGGCCCAAGCTGTTAACCATTACTCAACACAAATCATAGAGGATATATTGGAATCAATACCAATCATAGCCATCACATCTAATCTTGAGCAAAGCTCCTACAGAAATTGTTGAAATTAATTTTTCATCAGAAGTATCTTCTGCACCATTTTGAATAATTTAAATCTATAAAACATTTTACAAAATCTCAGATATCTCAAAGTATTTTGCAGCCAAATACTTGCAAACTGTAATCACTTGCAGTGAAAGGGGACATTGCACACCACAAGATTTCACAGCCAGCAAGGAGGTCAATGATATAGCTATTCATGAAGAATTCTAATCACCCACATCCTTTTGTTTAATCTGTGCATTACAGGCTAAGTAACAGCACTCAAAAAAAACTAGGAGGATTAAAAATTTGAAAAATCAGCAGTTTTCTCATTTGCATCCAATTAGAGCTCTGCTACTGTGCAGCTTGTAAAAATGCCCACTTTCATCAATGTTAAAAATGTCCTTGGGTTTATAGTGAGATTTATCACTCATGTAGTTGTCAACATCTTCTATTGCTTGTCTCCCAATGTGTGTGCACGTGGGCCTGGTTTGACTATGCTAAAATGGTTGATTTACAGTTCAGAAGCAGTTGGTTTCAAATTGCCTGGTGAATTTACTAGCCTCTTTTGACACATTAGCCTAGAAAGGTTAACTGCTGAGTCTCTTGCATCAGGATGGATTTAAGTTGATTGGAAGATTTCTTTGGTCAGGACATAATAGGATGAGAATTAAAATTTGAGTTAACTGACAATTCAAAATAAGACACTAGAATTAAACAACATGATTTTAAATACATGCTTACTGGTGTAAATTATCACAATTTCAAACAACATGAACAGATATGGTAAATCTTCTTAATTCACCATTGTTTAGTTCAAATGATCTGATTTTAACAACATGATTTTAAATACATTCTTACTGGTGTAAATTATCACAATTTCAAACAACATGAACAGATATGGTAAATCTTCTTAATTCACCATTGTTTAGTTCAAATGATCTGTTAATTTTACAGCTTAGTGGATAATTAAAATATTTTGAGCAAAGACTACTCCACTGATGAGGTTACACTGTATTTCAAATTAGTGAGTTTGAATTTAAGACAGTCGACATGATAATTCCATGACTATGACACAAACAAATTGAATATCATAAGAAATTCAGGGTTTACACTTCTGTATATGTTCCTGTTTGTTAAGTGACAGTAGCAAGGCCGTATTTGGTGTACATCACTTACTACCCACAACACATAGTGCTGTGACTTCTTCTTGTCCTTGTACATATGAGATGGTAAGCGACTGGAAAATACTATTCAAGTAAAGATTAAACCGGAATAAGTTAAGATCAGTGAAATGGTGCTCAGGCATTTTGCTCGTTGTATAACATGAATTCTTTGTACTGGAGCTTTCACAGATTCTGCAGAGAAAGTTCGCAGAAATTAACTTCCCTATTTATACGAAAATATGATTTACCATTTTTAGTTTTCAGTACTTCCATTCCAGATACCTCTGAACTACTACCACTTTATTGACATCGCATTACATTGTACCTTTTTGCCAGTGGTCCTATGGCCAACTACTAGAACAGAACTAGACATTTGGATACAGAACTGGCTTGAAGGTAGAAGACAGAGGGTGGTGAAGGAGGGTTGTTTTTCAAACTGGAGGCCTGTGACCAGTAGTGTGCCACAAGGATCGGTGCTGGGTCCACTGCTTTTTGTCATTTCTTTAAAGGATTTGCATGTGAGCATGGGAGGTATGGTTAATAAGTTTGCAGATGACACCAAAATTGGAGGTGTAGTAGACAGTGAAGAAGGTTAGCTCAGAGTACAATGGGATCTTGATCAGATGGTCCAGTAGGCCGAGGATTGGCAGATGGAGTTTTATTTAGATAAATGTGAGGTGCTGCATTTTGGAAAGGCGAATCAGGGCAGAACTTAATGGTAAGGTCCGGGAGTGCTGCTGAACAAAGACACCTTTGTTCATAGTCCCTTGAAAGTGGCGTCACAGGTAGATAGGATAGTGAAGAAGGGGTTGGTAAACTTGCCTTTATTGGTCGGTGCATTGAGTATAGGAGTTGAGAGGTCATGTTGCGGCTGTACAGGACATTGGTTAGGCCGCTTTTAGAATACAGCTTGCAATTCTGGTCTCCCTGCTACAGGAAGGATGGTGTGAAACCTGAAAGGGTTCAGAAAAGATTTACAAGGATGTTGCCAGGGTTGGAGGGTTTGAGCTATAGGGAGAAGCTGAATAGGCGGGGCTATTTTTCCTGGAGCATTGGAGGCTGAGGGGTGAAATTATAGAGATTTATAAAATCATGAGAAGCGTGGATAGGTTGAATAGCCATGGTTTCTTTTTTCCCCAGGGTGGGAGAGTCCAAACTAGAGGGCATAGGTTTAAGGTGATAGGAGAAAGATTTAAAAGGGACCTAAGGGGCAACTTTTTCACGCAGAGTGTGGCGTGTGTGTGGAATGAGCTGCCAGAGGAAGTGGTGGAGGTGAGTACAATTACAATATGTAAAAGGCATCTGGATGGGTATATGAATAGGAAGGATTTAGAGGGATACGGGCCAAATGCTGGACTAGATTAATTTAGGATATCTGGTCAGCATGGACAAGTTGGACCGAAGGGTCTGTTTCTCTGCTGTACAGCTCTATGACTCTATAAACAAATACAAAAGGGATAAAGGTTATTGTCAAGTCCTTTCCTTTCAAGGTCATTGTATTCTATCAGGAGTTCGTCCCTGCTTAACAACATTAGTGTGTGTCCTACTCCAGGGGGATATATTTCTGATTTAATGCAGTTGGTAGTGATTTTGTTTTGACTGTACATGTAATTGTAATATGTACCCAAAGATTCAATATGTGCCACACTGATTAGGTCTTGAAGAGTGTGCTTGTGCAAAATTAACCCTTAAGCTCCTTTTGCAGCATTTTGGGATGTAAACTAAACAGTGGTATTAATATTGTATAACACTCATTCGATTCATTAAAAAATTCTGATCCAGATCTTTTAAACGTGTTAATAATTTTCAACTCAGTGATGTTCTTTGGAAGTTTAGTCAACATTTATGTTCCCTGGGCAGTGGGAAGATGCTTTTTCTCACTCTAATCTTGCTGGAGAGTTGTGAAATTTGTATGTGTCCTTTGGTCCTGCTG